CCTCTGGCATTCAGGCCCTTCCACCTCCGTCTTTGCGACTCTTCGCCCTAACTACCTTCCTTGCGGCTCTTCGCCCTAACCACCATCCGTCTCGAGACTTACTAGAAGCCGCTTGTGTGACTTGTATCGGCTCTTCTCTCTTTCCTGCTTCCGCTTCGTCTCGCCCCTTACTCCACCTCCCCCGCTCAGCTGTACCTCCCCTCCCTCCCTCACCCCCTCTCCGCCTTTCCGCGCTGCTTCCTTCAACGATCTCGCCTTTTGCACTTCTGAAGGACAGCTGAGACGGACGGCTGAGATTCTTTCAGGCTCGCGGCTAGGGATTGCCAGGCGATGGATGCGATGGCGGCTCGCCTTCAGAGCTCCTTCCATGTGCGTCCTGCCAATCCATTCATGCACTGTTCTTCACGCTCTTTCCCTTGCCACCCTTCCGCACCCTGCCATCACCCCTTCGATGTGCGTCTCGCCTTGCACTGCTGCGTCAGAGCTCCTTCGATGTGCGTCCTGCCATTCCATCGATGCACTGCTGGCCATGCTCCTTCCCCTGCCACCCTTTCCCCACCCTTCCGACACCTTCCCGCCACCCTTGCGCCATCCATCCGCCACCCTTTCACGACGCTTCCGCCACCCTCCCTTCCGCCACCCTCCCTTCCGCCACCCTCCCTTCTTATCCCTCTCGTCATTGGTCATTCTGTCTTCCTCATTTCCACTGTCTTCCTCACCATCCCATCGACTTCTTTCCCCAATCTCCATCGTTGTCTCCTTTATAAGCAGCTCCAGTGCGCCGCGCAGTGAGGTGGCGGTAGCATCAGCGCTGGAGGTGTTTCAGAGCCGAGTGGACCCTTTCAAGCCGCATGCGACCGGGCGCAGCAGCAAGGGGTGAGCAATTAGACATGGGCAAACAAGTTGATTGGTGAGAGCACGGCAAATGGTGAGTGGTGAGGCTTAGCAGCAAGTGGTGAGTGGTGAGGCATGGTCAACGATTGAGTCGACTGAAAATTGGCTCAGCTCAGCCACAAGTGGTGAATATTGAGGCACGGGCGATTATCTGGGTGAAAATTGAGTCAACAGCAACTTGTGGGTGCTGTGATGTTATAACCACTTTCTTCGTCCGGCACAAGATGCTGTGAAGCATCAGGTGCTTTCAGCTAGACGGGTGGACGGAGCACGGGGCGCAGCAATAAATACGATTCATGTGGCAGCAGCAACCGCAGATTCTCACTTTTCTTTGCACATATTGCAGTGAGGCACCCAGCTGCTGTTGGAGCCTGGTGGTCATAGCTCGTGTACAGATCTTTCACCAGTTGCTGTCATAAAGCCAGGCGGACATAGCAAGAGCCGCCAAATGAGCACATTTGTTCCATATCTTTCCACTCCTTGACCTGTCCTCCCGCCGTGCGAGACGCAGCAACCACCGGCTGCTGTCAATTGAACGACGCCAGAGGCGCGAGAGTGGTTTTGTTTGCTGCCTACTCCCGGATATTATGATCCCTCAAAGGTGCTGTCTGAAAGCTTGGTGGGTCAAGGAAGCGTCACAATAATGAGTTCACTTGCTCCCTCACTCCCTGATATCATGCTACAGCCACTGCGAGCCACTAGCTCCTGTTGGAAAGCCTGGTGGCACACAAGTGAGTTTGGCTCCTCACCAATCCCGACTGCCATGCTCTTTCGCCTGTCGTCACGCTTGCAGGACGCAGCAAGGCACCGGCTGCTGTCAGGGCGCAGCAAGCGACGCTTCTGCTGCGGGTGCAGCAGGAGAGAGGGAGGCGCAGATGGTGCTGGGTCGGTTGGAGCTAATCAGCCAGGCAGAGAGAGCTATGGTGCAGGAAGTTACAGCACGGGCATGCAGTGAGTGAATCACCGAGTCGCAGCTATTGTAACACTAAATTGAAAGTCAGGAATTGTGCAAGCCATGGTTCAGGATTTTCAATCATGGTGCTTTCAATCCCATCAGATACGGGTACACTTGCTCTGATGCTGCTAATAATTGACGCCTGAAGATTGTTGTGTTTGGGGCCGTGATGTTTTAGAATATCTTGGTAGGAAAATGACCAGCCTTGCAGCTGACATCTAGTATAGATACAAGGCACCACAACTAAACAGCACGCTTAAGCGCCGGGGGTGAAGTTGGTGGCATAGGCCCAGGCGTTGTTGACGGTGGGGTCAGCCAGGTGGTCAGACAGGTTCTCCAGGGGGCCCTTGCCGGTGACGATGGCCTGGACGAAGAAGCCGAACATCGACACCATGGCGAGGCGGCCGTTCTTGAGCTCCTTCACCTTGAGCTCTGCGAGGGCCTCGGGGTCGTCAGCCAGACCCAGGGGGTCGAAGGCACCGCCGGGGTACAGGGGGTCCTCAACCTCTTGGAAGCCCTCGAGGCCACCCACGCGGTAGCTCTCGACGGCACCCATGAGGATGACCTGGGTGGCCCAGATGGCCAGAATGGACTGGGCGTGGATCAGGCTGGGGTTGCCGAGGTAGTCAAGGCCACCCTCCGAGAAGATCTGAGCTCCGGCCTTGAACCACACGGCCTCACCGAAGTTCACGCCGTTGCCGGCGAGGAGCTCGGGGGTCAGGCAGCCGAGGGCACCGAGAAGAGCCCAGCGGGCGTGGATCACCTGATCGACGGAACAACAGCGAAGGAAACCGTGGATTAGGTCAGAATTGCGAAAAGTGCCGATAGAAAACAGTAGAAGAAAACTTTCAAATTGCGACAAGCAACGCACCTCCAGCTCGCGGTTCTTGGCGAAGGTCTCGGGGTCAGCGGACAGACCCGCGGTGTCCCAGCCGTAGTCACCGGGGTACTCGCCGGTCAGGTACGACGGGGGGGAGGTGAACGGGCCCAGGAACAGGTTGCGGTCGGGGCCGTAGAAGGCGCTGCTGGAAGCCGCCTTGGCGGTCTTCCTCATGGTGACGCGGGCCTCGACATTGTTCACCTTGGCGGCGAGCTCAGCGCTCTGGCCGACGAAGGTGGACGGGAGCACAGCGGCGTTGGCGAGAGCGGCCATTGTCGACTGCGGAAAAATGTACAACTAAAGAGTTGTGTAGGAACCTGGAATTTCTGTCGCTGACTTGATTGTGGTGAGTAGACCAGCAATATTTGAAGATTGGCGAATTTGGAACGGGTGGAGCGGATGAGGGTGGTGACTGGGGGAGATGCGCGGTTGGATGCAGTGCGGTGGGGTTGGACGTGGGGATGGAAAGCAGGTGGATGAGGTTGGTGCTTGGCTGGACACTGAAAGGTTGGGGATTGCGTGTGGACCAGAATTCGGATTGGCTCAAAATCCCGTCGGGGAGTACTGGGTGATTCAGGATTGGTTGGGTTCCAGCAGAATCACGAAGTGCTCGATTGATTTGTGTGCACGACACGCCAGAGTCATCCTGTCGTCTTATCGCGCATCTGGATAATCATGCTCAACCAATGGCGGAGGTTGACGTGTGTACACTCTCGTCTAATCGCGCATCTGACTGGGTAATCGGTGTCTACCAATGGCTGATGTAGGGTGGTCCCATCCCGGGGTTGAAAGTTTACCGTCCTATTGCATTCTCCGCTCGTTTTTCCCTAAGTACTATGATACTGAATTCTGACATTTCTATTAAAAGGAAGAAAGTATGCTATTTTTTAATATTGGCTATTAAACAAGCCATGAATCACTCCAGGTGATGATTTACATTCCAGAAAAGAACATGATACATTAAAACCTTTCCTAGGAGTGTCGTACTACCTTTAACCTACAAAATATCACTGTCAAAACCCCAAACAAAGTAAAGGTTCCTAAAACATCTACAGCCGCATGTCCACCGAGTATTGATGCATTCCATCATGGAAACTGAATGTTATTGTTGGTGTAACCAACAGTTTATGAAAGCATTCCCAAAGGTATCAAGATATCGTATCGCTTCATAAAGAGGTCGCACACTGACTATTATCGCGTTACACTCATACAGAGAAAGGGATTCACACTCATACACCAGCTGAGCGCTCCTCACATTTTTCGTTCTGGTATGGCAAAGTCGCCGGGGGACACCTCGAAGCCAAGTTCGTATTTGGCCCTAAGAGGTTGCTCTAACCTAGGCCGTGCGATCCAAGCGGGCGATCGTGACTTTCACGGTTGCCGCAGCAACCCCCAGCCATGCGTGATCGACCGATTCGTCATATTTCGCGAGCTGCTCGAAACTGGCACTGCAAAGTCAACTCGCTAGGTGCTGCGGAACATTCCTGGCTTCTCAAATCCTCCTCCTCATGCGCTTTGCTCTCCCCGGTATTCCCTAGAAGGACACCAGATGTCTCGAAGCTTGATCCGTCGCAACAGCGTGCTGCGACGCGTTTAAAATTCGTGAATTCGACACAGAGTCGCTCGGATATATCTGAGCCGCCCGTTCGTGGGAGCCCATGGAGGGTCCTCAACCGTCCGATCGCAAGCCGCTCCATGGCCCGAGCACCCGTTTACTCGCCACAACCGAGCCCCGGTATAACGAGGACGTTCTCGAGCGGGCTCGGCGCGCTGCAGTTCAGCCGCAGTACGGTAGAGCAGCAACAGCAGCAGCAGGAGATTGACGGAGACGAGGCAACGCAGAGTGAATCCGCATCCTCGTTTGTAGCGTCCTCGACTGCACGGCATTCGTTTCGGCAGGCCATCCGGACCGGCCCCTCGCTTTCGGATTTCATCAGGCGGGCCGCTGCAGGAGAAGCAGGAGCAGAATCAGGAGAGGGAGAAGCGGGGGAGGAGAGATCGAGGGGAGCAGGGGAGGAGAGATCGAAGGGAGCAGGAAAAGGGAGGGCGGGAGGGAAAGATTTAGATTCAAAAGAAACGGCTGATTTGCTTCCTGAAGTCCCGTTACTCCATCCCCATCAATCCACAGTTTCGCTTCAAGCACAAATCGACGCTTCTCATGCCGACCTCCCACCCCACTTTCACGACTCCATCCCCGATACTGCCCCAAATTCGTTAACGGGTAAAGTGACGGACCCCAGGGGAGTGTACCTGGAGTCGTACGGATGCCAGATGAACGTGAACGACCTGGAGGTGGTGCTGGGGATCCTCAAATCCGCAGGGTTCAACGTGGCGCGCGCTGATAGGCCGGAGGAGGCGCGGGTGATTCTGGTGAACACGTGTGCGATCAGGGAGAACGCAGAGGCGAAGGTGTGGCATCGGCTGAACTATTTCAAGCATGTGAAGCGGAAGTGGAGGGATAAATTCGCTCAGTCCGCTGCTGCTGCTGCCGCCGCCGCCGCCGCTGCTGTTAGTGCGAGTGCTAGTGCTGCTGCTGCTGGTTCTGCTGCCGATGATGCGGGTGCGGCCTCTGTTACAGGGTTACCAGCGGGGTGGTTACCACCGCCGCCCAAGGTGGCAGTGCTGGGGTGCATGGCAGAGCGGCTGAAGGAGCAGCTAGTGGCGGCGGATAAGATGGTGGACGTGGTGTGTGGGCCTGACGCATACAGAGACCTGCCACGTTTATTGGATGAGGTGAGAGCAGAGCAGGATATGCGACTGGTGGGTGGGGTGCTGGGGTGCATGGCATGGCAGAGCGGCTCAAGGAGCAGCTAGTGGCGGCGGATAAGATGGTGGACGTGGTGTGTGGGCCTGACGCATACAGAGACCTGCCACGTTTATTGGATGAGGTGAGAGCAGAGCAGGATATGCGACTGGTGGGTGGGGTGCTGGGTTGCATGGCATGGCAGAGCGGCTCAAGGAGCAGCTAGTGGCGGCGGATAAGATGGTGGACGTGGTGTGTGGGCCTGACGCATACAGAGACCTGCCACGTTTATTGGATGAGGTGAGAGCAGAGCAGGATATGCGACTGGTGGGTGGGGTGCTGGGGTGCATGGCATGGCAGAGCGGCTCAAGGAGCACCTAGTGGCGGCGGATAAGATGGTGGACGTGGTGTGTGGGCCTGACGCCTATAGAGACTTGCCACGGCTGTTGGACGAGGTGAGGAAGGGGTTCTGTAAGGATGTGGGCTTCTAACGAGGATGTGTCTAGGCTCTAGAAGGAGCAGCTAGTGGCGGCGGATAAGATGGTGGACGTGGTGTGTGGGCCTGACGTGGTGTGTGGGCCTGACGTGGTGTGTGGGCATGACGTGGTGTGTGGGCCTGACGTGGTGTGTGCGCCTGACGTGGTGTGTGGGCCTGACGTGGTGTGTGGGCCTGACGTGGTGTGTGGTCCTCACGCCTACGGCAGGCTGCGTGACTTTTAGTAACACCAATATGACTGTAACGAGGTGGGCTTGCATTTGATTGGAATGAGAAATGACTGTAAACGAGGAAAGAATATTACATGTGATTTGCTGACCTGTCCCCTCTCCCATTCCCCGGCCTCCATGCCTGTTCCCCTCTCCTTGGCCTGGAAACAAGCAGGTTAAGGCGGGTCAGAGGTGACTGTTGAGTTTACTCAAAACTCGACTTATCACACACGTTTTGAGTCTACTCTTATCTCCTCTCCTTGGCCCGGAAACAATCAGGTTAAGGCGGGTCAGCCGGGAGTCGACTGTCAACACCCTCCTCTTGAGTCGAAACCCTCATCGTCCTGTTTGACTTTTTCCATCCGACCTTCCTATCTCTCTCCTGGCAATAACAACAGGTAGAGGCGGGTCAACATCCTCCTCTCTCTCGACGAAACCTACGCTGACGTTTCTCCTCCAGTACCCCCTCCTCTCCCCTTCTATTCCCTTTCCTTTTACTGGTGCTGGTGCTAACAGGTAGACGCGGGTCAACCGGGAGTCAACACGCTCCTCTCTCTCGACGAAACCTACGCTGATGTGTCACCCGTTCGCCTCGCCTCCAATTCCGTCAGCGCGTTTGTGACTATAATGAGGGGCTGCGACAACATGTGCTCCTACTGCATCGTGCCTTTCACGAGGGGCAGGGAGCGGTCCCGGCCAATCAGGAGCATCCTTGGGGAGATTGAGGAGCTTGCCGGGCAGGGCGTGAAGGAAATTTATCTTCTCGGGCAGAATGTTAATAGCTACCGAGACACCTCAGAGATCAATACGGTTGATTCAGTCACTGCCACTGTTTCTCCTTCTTCCCCCGCCTCCTCCTCCCTATCCCAACCGCACTTAACCCCTGGCTTTTCCACAATCTACAAATCCAAGCTGGGAGGGATCCGATTCGCCACCCTCCTGGACGAAGCTTCCCGGAACTTTCCCGACATCCGCTTCCGCTTCACCTCCCCTCACCCCAAGGATTTCCCCGAGGAGCTTCTTTCGCTCATGGCTGCCCGGGGCAACGTGTGCAAAAGTTTGCACCTGCCCGCGCAGAGCGGCAGCAGCAGTGTGCTGGGGAGGATGCGCAGGGGGTATTCGAGGGAGGCATATCTGCAGCTGGTGGATCGAGTGAGGAGCATTTTGCCTGACGTGGCTATTAGCAGCGACTTTATCACTGGTGAGTGAGTGAGAGATAGGCGGTACTCGAGGGAGGCGTATCTGCAGTTGGTGGAGTGAGTGAGAAGCATTTTGCCTGACCTTGCCATAAGCATTGATTTTATCACTAATGAGTGGGTGAGGGAGAGATAGGGGGTATTTGAGGGAGGCGTACCTGGGCCTTGGGGATTGCGTGAGGAGCATCCTGCCTGGCGCTGCCATCTGTAGTGATTTCATTACTGGTGAGTGAGCGAGGTTATTATGAGGCGCCTCAAATGTGCAGGGGGGATTCGGGGAAGGCGTACCTGGGCCTTGTGGTTTGGGTGAGGAGTGTTGTGCTTGGCGCTGCCATCAGCAGTGGCTTCATCACTGGTGAGTGAGGGAGGGAGTGAGTGAGTGAGAGATAGGGGAGGTATTCGAGGGAGGCGGATATGCAGCTGGTGGAGCGAGTGAGAAGCGTTGTGCCCGGCGCTGCCATTAGCAGTCACTTTATTAATAGTGAGTGAAGGGGGGAGGGAGTGAGTAAGGGAGCATTATCACAGGCGAGTGAGGGGCGCACTTACAGCTTGTGGATCGGGCAGGGGCAAAATATGAGACTCCTCAAATGCGCAGGCAGGGGGTATTCGAGGGAGGCGTATGTGCAGCTGGTGACTTGTGTTAGAAGCATGACTTTTGAGTCGACTCAAAAGTCAGCTCAGTATGTGCAGCTGGTGGCTTGTGTTAGAAGCATTCTGCCTGACATAGCCTCTGCCTGACATAGCCTCTGCCTGACATAGCCTCTGCCTGACATCGGCCACTAGCAGTGATTTCATCACTGGCGAGTAATGGTTGAACGAGGGAGTATCATGAGAGGTGAGTGAGGGAGCATCATGCAAGGCAGGGGGTATTCTGCCCTGCCTGAAGTTGCCTATCGGCAGTGACTTCATCGCTGGTGAGTAGTTGGTGAGCGAGTGCGTGAGTGGGGGGGGGGGGAAGAACCATCAGACGCGAGTGAATGAGAGAGCACCATAAGAGAGCACAGTGAGTGAGGGAGCAATAACAGAGGTGAGTAAGGGGCGCATTTGCAGCTGGTGAATCAGGTCAGGGGCAGCTTCTGAGGCACGCAAATGGCCTACATGATTGCTGACTCACTGTTCCCCACCCTACTGCTGCCACTGCTTGTGCTACCCTGTCGATCCCCCAGGTTTTTGTGGCGAGACAGAGGAGGAGCATCAGGAGACCCTCTCTCTCATGCGCGCAGTGCAATACGACATGGCCTACATGTTCGCCTACTCGCTGCGCCCGCGCACGCACGCACACCGGCGGCTGGAGGATGATGTACCGGAGGAGGTGAAGCAGCAGCGGCTGAGTGAACTCGTCTCTACGTTTCGGGAGACCACTGTTGCCAGATACGAGGCTCAGGTAAGGCGCTGGCAGTGTCCTTACCGCATACACAATGCCTACGCGCTGCGCCCGCGCACCCACGCGCACCGGCGGCTGGAGGATGACGTACCGGAGGAGGTGAAGCAGCGGCGGCTGAGTGAAGTGGTTTCCACGTTTCGAGAGACCACTGCTGCCAGATACGAGGCTCAGGTAAGGCACTGGCAGACACCACATCTGCCAGCTGTGCCACTCAAGTATGGTGCTTCCAGCGGCCATGGTGCCAGAATGCCACTCATGTGAGGCCCTATCCAGTGTCGTGACTGCATGCACCACACGCAGCTGGCAGGGGTGTGGAGTGGAGCCCATATGGACACCCCACCCCTGCCCAGACACAGCTGCAGCTGCCTCATACACTCCTCGCCGTTGCTACTTCTTGAAAAGGTCCGCCTGCTCCAGTTGCCATGCCACCTGCCTACCTCGCGCCCATTCTCCCCTTCTCTCCATATCCCTTTCTCCCCATTTCCCCTTCTTCCCATCTCCCCTTCTCCCTATCTCCCCATCTCCCCTTCTCCCCATCTTCCCATCTTCCCTCCTCCCCTTCTCCCTATCTCCCCAGTCTCCCCTTCTCCCCATCTCCCCAGTCTCCCATTGAAGTGGGATCGAATCAGGCTGTGAAGCTAGAAGGCCGTACCGTGCATCCTTACAATATTCATCACAACCCATATGCCTGAATTCTCTCTCCTCCAGGTGGGAACGAGGCAAGTCGTGCTAGTGGAGGGACCCAACAAGCGCTCTCCACTCACAGAGCTGATTGGAAAGACGGATCTGGGCCACCGAGTCACCTTCCAGAACTTTCTTCACCAGCATTTGGCAGCGGCGGACGGGAAACACAAGGGTTTTTCACTGGAGTTGGTAAGTCGGGGGGATGGGGGTGGTGCTGGTAGGGGTTCAGGTGGAGGGGGGGTTGCTAGTGCTGGTGATTATGTGCTTGTGGATATTTGTGGCTCCACGCATGCGTCCCTTCGAGGGGTTTTGTTAGGGAAGTGTGACATATCAGGGTACATTCCGCTGTGGACATGCGTCCCAATCGATGTGTCCCAATCGGGTGTACCGCTCCGAACCGCACTAAACCAGAGAAGCGAAAATTTTGAAACTAGGGTGTAATTCGGTGTAATAAGATTCAGTGCGGTAGAATCGATTGGGACACATCGATTGGGACGCATGTCCACAGCGGAATGTACCCTCAGGAAAGCTTGTTTGATGAATATACTGTTATGTTAATCCTCGTGGCCGAAATTGTCGCAAAAAGGCATTTGCGAGGTTTTTGTAGGAATGTGGATGTCAGAAGCTGATGTGTTTCAAGTGCAATTGATCGAGCGAGCAATGATTGCACTATACAGGGAAATAATACTACCATACCAACCAGCCGAGGGGATAGTTTTTATTCATAAGAACATACTTCATACTGATTTCGTGATTCGTTATTATATCGACAGCTTACAAACAACGCTCACCTTTCCTCGTGGGTGTCAGACTGCCTGTCGTTTCTGACACATTGTTGCGCTTTGCGAATATGTCCCTCTAGATTCATCGTCGTCAACGCTCACGATTAGCCACCGCCTCCCCTTTCGATGGGCGGTTGCGATTTCCTCAGCAGCACACTATGAACACCGATAGCTCCACGGCCTGTTTGCCGATCTCGATCTTGGTCATGCCGAATTGGTTGAACTTTTCGCCGAGGGATGAGGGCTCGTTTGACGCGTTTTCAAACGGTTAGCCGCGGTTACGAGAGGTGCTGTACGTTCACCGCCTTGGTTGACCCCAACGCATCTGAATCCGCCACCCAAAATTCTGTTAGAGAAACGACTTGCTCTTAGGCTGCAGTGATCTCGAGGCTGAATTGGCAGTCGTGCTGGTCGGTGCCTGACAAAACTTCGTCTTTCACTTGGCCTCCTTCCTGGATATCTTCTTGTTTGCGCAAGACAGACATAAGCTGGCCAAGCTGAACACGGACAGGAGTACGTTTAGAGAGCGAGAATAGCCTCGGCCCGACTTTCGCCTCAGAATCTGTACTCCAGCCCTCGACGCCTGCATCGGTCCATTTGTTTTTCCGTGTGGGGGTCCGCCATGGATCCCGTACAGGCCTTCGCTGACCTTATCGGCACACCCCGTCCAGCCGCGACGTTCCTGCTAGCGAGCTTCGCTTTCGTGCCGATCGCATGGATTCACAGATTCATATCCTCGCCTACACTCCGCCATGTGTATTGCACAGTAACGGGACTTCTCTTATCGGCGTTCGTGTTCGGATACATGGCGTACGCGCACTTCTTCGTGTGCATTCTTTACTCCATGGCCGTAATGCGCCTGTTTCGTAGAAATTGCGGCGTCCTAACGTTCATCGGAACGTTCGCGTACTTGATCGGATGGTAAGTTTTGATCCTGTCTCCTTCATTGACTCATCACCGATCAGCATGTGCATTTCTCACGTGGATTTTTCCTCATTCGATGCGATTCGTCTTTTGAGTGGACTCCATTCTGATGCGGCCACCGTTCAGCATCTGCATTTCTCACGCTCAAAACTTCCGTTTCCCACGTTCATCCCGTCGTTCGATGCAATTTCAATTAACCGCCTCCCGCCACATCGTCATGCGGACCCACGAGACCCGCACGGAGGGCGTGCTCAACTGCACAGGCTCTTTGAGACGTCTCAAAATATACCTTTTATCACGTTCGATGCGATCCCACCTCCTGCAGCCACATCGTCATGCGGACCCACGAGACCCGCACGGAGGGCGTGCTCAACTGCACAGGCTCTTTGAGACGTCTCAAAATATACCTTTTATCACGTTCGATGCGATCCCACCTCCTGCAGCCACATCGTCATGCGGACCCACGAGACCCGCACGGAGGGCGTGCTCGACTGCACAGGCGCGCTCACCGTCCTCGCTACAAAGCTCACCGCTGTCGCGTATAACTACCAGGACGGGCTCACGCTGCTCAAGGAAAAGGACTCGGGTGCAAAAGCCAAGGACGAGAAGGAGATGAAGGAGCTATCCGAGGAGCAGAGGCGGCGGGAGGAGCGGATGGAGCGCTCGCGACTGGAGCGGCGAAAGGCGGCGCTGGTTACCATGCCGTCGGTGCTGGTGCTGATGGGGTACCTGTTCTGCTTCGGGCTGCACATGACAGGCCCGTTCTTTGAGTTCAAGGCGTACGACGACTGGACCCGCCGCCAAGGGGTACGTGCGTGCGTGAATTCGTGTTCCCCTCGACATGATCTTGTAGGCGTCTCAAAAGTCACCTCAATGCTTCGGGCTGCACATGACGGGCCCGTTCTTCGAGTTCAAGGCGTACGACGACTGGACCCCCCGACAAGGGGTATGCATGCTGAACTTGACGCGCGTATGTATGTGCATATCACCCTCCATGACTTGACTTGAAGTGCTTCCACATGCATATCCGTATCACCGTGCTGACGCCGTATGCATAGGCATATGCGTATTCAAATCCCCCTGTCAGCTGGTCGCCGTTTCTCATAGTGCATAGCTGGTCCCTCACGCCAATGCAGCCCTCCGCGTGTAAGTAGACGACTTTGAGACGTCTTAAATGTGGTCCCTCACGCTCACGAAGCTCTCTGCCCTTCCCGCCATCTTTAGAGAGGGTGTTTTTGAGACGTCTGAAAAATACCCTCGCTAAAAAGTGGTCCCTCACGCTCACAAAGCTCTCTTTCCTGCGCACTCGTTGCAAAAGTCATCTCCGCTCTCCTCTCCGCACTCTTCTCTCCGTTCCCACCCACCCCCCTCCTCGCCACCCGCAGATCTGTCCCCTTCGCGTGACCTCACGCGCTCCCACAACTCACATTCGTGTGTCGCACCTTCCCACAGATTTGTGGCCGTCACACTAGCAGAGCTACGCGCACATACGCGTTTGATCCCTACCCGTTTGTATGCTATGCTCACTACCACCTGCACATCTGGTCCCCAGGTCGCAAGCAGCCGGCCATCCTCCCACCGTTCCTCCGCGCATTCGTTCAGGGCATCCTCGCAGCAATTGCCTCCCTCTTCTCTCTGTTTCCCTTTCCCCTCTCCTCACTACCACCTGCAGATCTGGTCCCCGGGTCTCAAGCAGCCATCCACCATCCCGCCGTTCTTCCGCGCGTCCATCCATCATCGCCTCCCTCTTCTCTCCGCCCCCATCCACCCCCTTCCTCGCCACCTGCAGATCTGGTCCCCGGGTCTCAAGCAGCCATCCACCATCCCGCCGTTCCTCCGCGCATTCGTTCAGGGCATCCTCGCAGCAATTGCCTCCCTCTTCTCTCTGTTCCCATCCCACCGTTCTTCCGCGCATTCACCCATCGCCTCCCCTTTTGTGCGTTCCCACCCAACCCCCTCCATCCCTCCCCTGCAGATCTGGTCCCCCGGTCTCAAGCAGCCATCCATCATCCCACCATTCTTCCGCGCCTTCATCCAGGGCATCCTCGCAGCGGTCGTCTTCCTGCTCGTGTCGCCCTCGCTCGACCTCACGCGCATCAGCGACCGCCGCAAGAACCTCTCCTACCCCTTCCACCTGCGCTGGCTCTTCGCGCACCAGGCGAGCATCGTGTGGCGCTTCCGCGCGTACATTCTCTGGAGCATCACCGAGGCTGCTATGGTTGTCGGAGGTTTAGGGTTCAGCGGCTGGGAGGCCCCCAAAGGGGACGGGGCGAAGGGGGATGGGAAGGGCGGGGCCGGGAAGGGGGGAGTGGAGGGGGTGAAGGGGAGTGGGAAGGGTGGGGATGGGGATGGGGCTGGGGGGAAGCAGAAGGGTGATGAGACGTGCGCGGCGCCAGTAGGGGAGGGGAAGGCGCTGTGGAACCGGGCGCGCAACGCGGACATTCTGGGGTTTGAGTTCCCCAAGAGCTGCCTTGACTTCGCCACCACGTGGAACATCTCCTACGGGCTCTGGCTGCGACTGTGTGAGTCTTGAGAGTGCACGACCTCTGGCTCTGTGGGTCTTGAGATGACTTTCGAATCGACTCAAAATGACTAGTGCGTAGAGCATTCAAGCTGAGCTATTCAAAAGTTGACTTCGCCACCACGTGGAACATCTCCTACGGGCTCTGGCTGCGACTGTGTGAGTCTTGAGAGTGCACGACCTCTGGCTGTGTGAGTCTTCTGACTTTGAGAGTCTCGATTGGAGTCAATAGGGAAACTTTTTTTCCACATGCTCGCCATCCTTCTTGTCCGCTTCTCCCCCGTAACACCCTGCTACGCTACCTGCCCACTTCTGGCCTCTTGCTCTCACCCCACGCAGACGTGTACGAGCGCATGGTGCCGCCCGGCAGGAAGGCCACCTTCTTCCACATGCTCGCCACCATGTTTGTCAGCGCCGTCTCCCATGTGAGTTCTTCTGTACCGCCTCCGTTCCATGTGCATTCTTTTGTCCCGCCTCCATTGTTTTGACCCGCCTCCATTCTTTTGTCCCGCCTCCATTCTTTTGACCCGCCTCCATTCTTTTGACCCGCCTCCATTCTTTTGTCCCGCCTCCATTCTTTTGACCCGCCTCCATTCTTTGGACCCGACTCAAAAGTCACTTGTTCCACATGCTCGCCACCATGTTCGTCAGCGCCGTCTCCCATGTGAGTGCTTCCGTACCGCCTCCGTTCCATGTGCATTCTTTTGACCCGCCTCCATTCTTTGGACCCGACTCAAAAGTCACTTGTTCCACATGCTCGCCACCATGTTTGTCAGCGCCGTCTCCCATGTGAGTTCTTCTGTACCGCCTCCGTTCCATGTGCATTCTTTTGTCCCGCCTCCATTGTTTTGACCCGCCTCCATTCTTTTGTCCCGCCTCCATTCTTTTGACCCGCCTCCATTCTTTTGACCCGCCTCCATTCTTTTGTCCCGCCTCCATTCTTTTGACCCGCCTCCATTCTTTGGACCCGACTCAAAAGTCACTTGTTCCACATGCTCGCCACCATGTTCGTCAGCGCCGTCTCCCATGTGAGTGCTTCCGTACCGCCTCCGTTCCATGTGCATTCTTTTGACCCGCCTCCATTCTTTGGACCCGACTCAAAAGTCACTTGTTCCACATGCTCGCCACCATGTTCGTCAGCGCCGTCTCCCATGTGAGTGCTTCCGTACCGCCTCCGTTCCATGTGCATTCTTTTGACCCGCCTCCATTCTTTGGACCCGACTCAAAAGTCACTTGTTCCACATGCTCGCCACCATGTTCGTCAGCGCCGTCTCCCATGTGAGTGCTTCCGTACCGCCTCCGTTCCATGTGCATTCTTTTGACCCGCCTCCATTCTTTGGACCCGACTCAAAAGTCACTTCTTCCACATGCTCGCCACCATGTTCGTAATCGCCGTCTCCCATGTGAGTCACATGCTCCCTTGCCGTCTCCCATGTGAGTCACATGCTCCCTTGCCGCCTCCCATGTGAGTCACATGCTCCCTTGCCGTCTCCCATGTGAGTCACATGCTCCCTTGCCGTCTCCCATGTGAGTCACATGCTCCCTTGCCGTCTCCCATGTGAGTCACATGCTCCTTCGTTTCTCTTTCCTTTGGTACCTGCAGGGCTTGAATTGGGGTGACTTCATCTTCTTTGCCAACTGGGCTTGTTACATGCAGAATGCATCTTCCTCATAATTCCTTTCTCCGTTACCTGCAGGGCTTGAATTGGGGCGACTTCATATTCTTTGCCAACTGGGCTTGTTACGTGCAGAATGCATCTTCCTCATAATTCTTTTCTCCGTTACCTGCAGGGCTTGAATTGGGGTGACTTCATCTTCTTTGCTAACTGGGCGCTTGTCGTTGCCAGCTCAAAAGGTGTGCACACACTATCCTGAACACCCATCCTTATCTTGAGCAGTGGAAGTGTAGTGTTTCCGAAATAGAAAGATAAGAGTATATGCCAAACCCCACATTCTGCCAAACCCTACATTTTGTAAAAATCATAATGACAGCATCGTTTTACCCTGCACTCTCTTTCTTGTGCTTCCGTCGCATTTCCACTTCCTTTTCTATCCTTTTCCCCAAGTATGTCTTATAGTTTTTTTTTTTTTTGTTTGTTTGTTTTTTGTTTGTTTTGTTTTGTTTTGTTTTGTTTTTTTTTGTTTTGTTTTGTTTTGTTTTGTTTTTTTTTTGTTTGTTTGTTTGTTTGTTTGTTTTTTTTTTTGTCTCCCTTCCTGTTCTCGTGGCCACTCCCATTCGCCTTCCCATCCATATCCATTTTCCATTCCTAGTCCCATTGCCGCTCCCATCACCATGTCATTCCTATTCCCAAACAAATTTTCCATTCCCATTCTTCCGCTGCGCCTTCATACACCTTCACCCGGGCTCGTCAGCTCCTGCTTGCTTCCCCTTCGATGCGCCTTCTCCAGATTGAGTAACCCTCTCCTTCCCATTTCTCTTCCCCATCATGCAGCCATCTACCAGCTCACTGCCGGACTTCACAAGGGCACCATCACCCACTGCTGCAGGCTGATTTTGAGAATCTCTCATTATCCACCTTTGATCCCCTCTCCTTAACTTCATCTCTCTTCCCTCCCTATCATGCAGCCATCTACCAGATCACTGCAGGAATCGACTTTTGAGGCACCTCAAAAGACCACCTTCAAATTGGTTTCAACATTTCCTTCCCGTCATCTCGCTTCCCTCGCATGCAGCCATCTACCAGGTCACTGCAGGAATCGACTTTTGAGGCGCCCAAAAAAACCTTCTTTGAATTGATTCCCCCTCTCCCTCCCTTCATCTCTCGTCCCTCGCATGCAGCCATCTACCAGCTCACTGCAGGAATCCCCAAAGGCACCATCGCGCACCGCATAGTGGCACTTCTCCACACCCTCTACGGCATTTTTGTCTGCAGCTACATGGCCAGCGCCTTCTGCGTAAGATGTTTCCGTAGATGTTTCTGTGAAATTTACTGTTTTTTTTCACAAAATCTCATCTCGATTTAAATGCCATAGTGAGTCCAACTCGAAAGTCATTGTGCATGGCGAGCTCGTTCTGGACGTTTTACTACTTCGGCTACTCCACAACTGATATACTTTCCCATGGATTTATACCTAGTAAACATTGCTGCAGTGCAGTCATCTATATCTCACTTTGGGCCTTATGCTGGCCACTCCTTAATGTTGATTCCCTTTGCCTCTTTTGTGCTTGTTTGCGATGGCTTTTCCTGGTGCAGGTGATGACACTATCAGGTGCATATTCGGCATACAGTGGCATGTACTATACTGGTACTGTCATTCCAATTCTCCTAATTATTTTGTCGATGGTGTACAAGCCTCGCCGCCCAAAGACAGTCAAGACAGAATAGAACATAGCTACCTGAGGGGCATTAGCATTCCAGTGTATCAATGCACTTGTGTAGCTGAAACTGATTCATGTCCATGCCAGATCCTGATTAGCGATTTCATCGATTTAGTTACGGTATCCTCCAAAATAACAGTTGCTCAATAGTCAATACACTAAAAATCTGTGCATTCTCATGTTCATAATATTTATTGTTGGGATTCTAGTGTATGCACAAGCAGAAAGCGCACTGTCAACATATTGAGTTGTGTCAAACTGAGGAATGAATGATGCATTGATGTTGGTTTGGGGTACATATAACAAACCCTAACTTTTGTACCCCCTAAGACAAACCTCACTACAGGCTACAACATTTGACACACCCCCATAGCCTAAGTGAGGGGTGTCTAGCAAAACCAAAAGAGTACGGTCATAAGACCAGTCACAAAGAAACAAAGCTCATGGTGGATCACAACGTCACCACACACTCTGAGCACAAGCAACAGTGGCCACAAGGCCAGTCCAAGCAATAACAGAGATATATAGAAAGTGTACAAGCAAAGCAAACAGTGAACTCAAGACTAAGTAAGACGAGAACCAGTGTCAACAAGGCCTAACTGCACACAGCACCTGTGGTGGTCACAAGGCGGAAGCGCCTTGGTGAAGATGTCTGCAGTGTTGGCCTCAGACTCCACAAACTCGAAGCGAGCCTGTCCACGTCTCTGCAACTCTCGCAGAAGGAAGTACCTGACGTTAATGTGCTTCACTCTGCTCTCCAGTCGCGGCTCTCGACAAAGGAGAATCGATGTCTTGTTGTCAGTGAACAAGGTCGGTGCAGAGCTCGGCCGCTCACCCAGGTCGGCGAGCAAGAACGTCAACCAACGCAGCTCCTGTGCCGCCATGGCACCAGCGTAGATCTCAGCCTCAGCTGTAGAGGTCGAGACCGAAGAGGAGCGCGTGGACCGCCAGGAAACAGCTCCACAACCCAGGCTGAAATAGTACCCATGAGTAGACCTGTGAGTCCGTCAGCGTAAGAAGAGTCACAGTGACCAGTAAGTACGACAGGCTGCTGCCCTCCAAGAACTAGCCCCACGCCTGATGTCGTCGCTAGGTACTTCGCCACCCTCACAGCTGTTGTCCAGTGAACAGGACGGTGTCTCCCTGGCGCAACAAAGCGTGCAAGGATGCTGAGAGGGAAAGCGAGGTCCGGGCGAGTACAAGTCATCAGGTACATGAGGCAACCCACAAGCTCTGCGTAGGGACCACTAGGCTCAAACGGCTTGTCAGGAAAGGGTCCAGTGAGTCTGTGGTCAACAGCAAGAGGTGTGCGCTGTACAGTAGAGTGCTGAAGCCCGAACCGCTGAAGGACCTGCTGCACCATGTGTGACTGTGAGAGTGTAATGGTGCGAGCAGCTCTGTCCCTGGTGATCTGCAGCCCAAGGTAATGGCGCAGCTCACCAAGGTCAGTGCACGTGTGTCTCTTCTGCAGTTCGGACTTCACGTCTGCCAAAGCAACCCTGTCAGCAGTGGCGAAAACGAGGTCGTCGACGTAGACCAGAACAAAGAACGGTGTGGAGCCACGGCGAACGAACAGCGACGGGTCGGCAGAAGACGGCTGGAACCCAAGGTCAGAGAGGGTAGAGCGGAGAGTGTCGTGCCACTCACGAGGGGCCTGGCGAAGACCGTAGAC